CACACACACACACACACACACACACACACACACACACACACACACACACACACGCCGCCTCTCCAGCTGCTCTCAACAAAGACTCACTCCGGCTCTGACGTCACTCCTCCTCTTCTGAAATCTGCCCTCGGCCGCGGATGAAAACCACCACATTTCCGTCCAGCGTTACGGAACTGAGACAAATAGTCCGAGTAACTGAATTTGGTCATCGTGTTTTCCTCCCTGTACGCAGAAGCAATGAGCTGTGCCGTGCCGAGCTGGGCTCAGCTGTGCTCTCAGATTATTTTGGGACGGACACGGCGTCAGCCAGATATGTCCAACCGGGGTCCAACGACATTCAGAGATAAGAGGCAGGCGGCGGAGACACGCAGCCAAGTCTTTGTCAAACAACCTGAATCCGTTGGAAACACCGATTAGAAAAGACACCAAGAATTTCATGCCTGCCTTTCATACCGGCTCACAAATATTCAAATTATGCACGTGATCTTATCTGTACATCTTGTCAAACGTTTGAAGCTGAAGCAGGGGCGGTTCTAGGGATGGGGCCACAGGGGCATTGGCCCCTGCTGAAATTTGATTGCCCCYCTGAAGTGCCCCTGTCCTGTCATCTGTCCTTCACCCAAGAGTGATGATGCTGGGTGCAGTTCTGTGTCTAAACACTAGGGGCACTAATGAGCCAAATGGAAATGTCCAGCATGAATCAAGCTGACAGAAGTCTTTTTCTTTTCCTAAAATTTGAACAATCCTGCAGAAAAAGTCTTCCAACTCACAAATGATGGCTGGATTCTCTCACATGCTGTGTGTTTGGGAGTATTTTATCTATGTACTGTAAAATGTATGTAAAATTGGTAAGGAGAATTTAATGCAAGCTGTTTTAAAATTACATTACAAGTGTTTAAAACTGTGACTAGTAAAATAAAGATAATATATAATACCATACCAAACACAGCGATTTGTGTGCAAGGATGCTGAACAAATACTTGGCCCCTCTATGAATATTGTGGCCCCTTGATGGCCCCTTACTCAAAAAAATCCCAGATCCACCACTGAGCTGAAGAAATCCAAAAATATCTCAGGAGGCGCTCTTAATAGGCTAGGTGACAGTTGAGGAGCAAACCTGTGACATATTGTTTTAATTTGTTAGACCCAATGTTTTAAAAGCTACAAATGGTTGCCAGAATATCAGTTATGACATTGAGAATTAGGGGTGTGGAGGGTGCTGCAGCACTCCCTAATGGATGCCAGAGGGCATGCATGCATTTTACAATTGTTTAAAGGGGACATATCATTCAAAAGACGCTTATTTTAGCACTTAAATGCATTTTATTGTGTACCTGAAGGAGTGCAGAAAAGTTGAATTTAATCTCTCCTGGTGCTGTGTATCTTTATATTGTGTTTGGGTCATATTTTTCATTCAGTTCTGTTTTCTCTAATACACACACACACACACACACACACACAC